CCCCAAAACCCCAAAACCCCAAAACCCCTTTTATCATTATAAAAAATGAAAAATAGTAAGTAAACTAAGATGGGTTTAATCTTATTCAAAGATCTCTCCTTTAGCATAAAAGAGAGATTTTGATATTAGCCAAATTCTTTCTTAGAGCTTCTTATACAGTACCTTGACCTTTGAAGTACTAATACTGATATTCTTTATTCCTATTTAATAAATAACAAATGAATTTTTGATATAGGTCCCAGAAAAGCAAAGATCTTACAAATAGTGCCAAAGAGGAAGAACAAGTCTAAAGGGTACTTACAGTCATTCTTATATCTTATTATTTCTTACTGTCTTTAAAGCAATTAGTAACTTAGCTCTATAGGAAACCCAAGGTAAAGAGTAGTTAGAGATTAAGATTGACTATCAGACAGGAGCATTTTCGAGGAAGACACATTTTCAAACACTATCAGATCGATCTAAGTTACTATAGAGATGCACTTAAATAGCATATTTACTTTATATTATTAATTTGGTCAATTTTGGAAAATTCAAGTCAAACTTCGAACTTCTTGCATGAAAAATGCTCTAAAATCTCTCAACTTAATGACCACTAACCTTTGCATCTTCAAATAGCAATCCTCTGATAAATTGCCCATTAAGTAACAATTATTTTGCTAAAAGTAGTCTCTAATTTCCAGAAGATCTTAAAAATACTGCAACATTTATTTTTGTGCTAAGACAGTTTATCAAAAAGAATGATCTAGAACATGGATTTAGCCTATTTCTAAGACCTTAAAAATATATTAGCGCTTGTTCTCATTGTTCTATATGGCCCAGCGGTTAATCTCCAGATCTAGTTTGTCACGAAAGTGAAGTTTAGAAGCCACTGGAGATGGAATAACGATGCTGTATATTTTTATGTCATTCTAAATTTTATTTACTCATAAAATAACTCAGATACTAGTAATACCATCGAGTTAGTGATTAAAATCTAGATCACATGTGTTTAAGCCTTTGCTTATAGGGAAATATACCACCACAGTGCTTCCAGGGTAATAACAGCTTATCATGCTTAGGCGGGAAGACGCTTCACACTAAGTCGTACAGCAAGGATCTCAAGACATTTATTAAAAGTCAGTTGGTAGTTTCTTCAACTTTAATTGGAAATTACTTTGTGCTCCATATTTTCGAGAGTGAAGATAATAAGCCGGTTTTTAGAACTGCTGTAAATTTTAAGTTGAGTAGAAACTGAACAGCAGTTTTTATGGGTGAATTGGAATTTACTCGAATTAAGATAGTAGACAATTATTCTGTGTTTTATTTATTATAATTGAAAAACTTATTTTTTTAATTATCTCAAACATTTCCTGATCCAACTTAAATATTTTCAGCTAAAATTCTGATTTTATCATAATTTTTTACACTCAAACAACTCTATTCTCTCATCTTTATTCCCATTTTGAAAAATCTAAAACCTTATATCCTCAACTAACCCTCACATTCCAAAATAATCTGACCTTGAAACATAGGTATTGAACAAAGGAGTTTAAACTTCAAAAATCCTAACCAAGGGACTCAAACACATTTAGGTATGAACTGGCATTAAATACTGACTCTGCACAAATTACTGCTTTTGTCTTCCTCATGTTGATTCGATTCTTGAGAAGTTAGCCTTGCCAGCTACTACTTTGATATAATAACCATTCATTCTAGGCTCAAGTTGGGATACGAAGAGAATTATACAAAAGATAGAAGAAAACCCAGCTGGAAACTCCTCTGAATCCTACATGAGAATACTTCAAGGCCTAACAATGAATAAGCAGCGGTAATTTGTCTGAGATGATTTGATTTAGCCCTAAGAAGACATTGGGAGCAAACAAAAGCAATTTCTCTCTCAAAACATTGGATATCTTGGGATCAAAATCCCCAGAGAAAAGGACTTTAGAAAACCATAATGTGGATGAGCCTTATTTTTCAACTATTACAAAGAACCTAGAGATCAATACTCCTGTAAAAAAGGCTTCAGCAAAGCTGAAGCCTTTAGACTCAGGGTATTGTAGTTCAACTGAACGATCTCTGAGTTTCCCTGAGCATATTTATAAATTAAGAAAGCTGGAGGAAAAGCAGACTGATCTGAATGACCTTTCCTCAGCGTTTTTTTACCTTCAATCTCCTATTGGATGCTCTCCCTCCAAAAGAATGATGCTAAGCAATCAAGAGAGCCCACAGAAAAAGGGGAAAACATCAAGATTTCTGTATTCCGAAGTCAAAGAAGGGCTAAAACCTCAGCTATATCAGAACACTCCAAAGAAAAAGCTCTATAAGCTGCCTGAAAAGTTAAGCCAGATTGTCAAAAAGCCAGTAAAAGATCCAGTGAGAAAAGTCAAAAACACCAAGAGAAAATACTGCCTCAACTCTTTAAAGATCCAAGGAATAAAAGACCCTTGAGATTACGACAAGAGTAGTGACACACGTACTAAAGAGACTGATACTATCAGAATCCCTGGAATAATCACCTCTTGTAAAGTATCCAAAAGAGATCAAGAGAAATCTTTCACAACTGTCACTTCTGACTCACTCTCTTTCAGCCATGATATGGTATGTTTTCTCTGTAATCTTTAGAGAGGAATTGATAGAATTGTGATAAAGAGTTGCTCACATACCCCAAAGAAGCCAGTTCCATCTAAAAGTTTAACGAAAAAGAACTGAATTAAGGTAAGATTTATAGCTCGAGCCTTATAGCCTGTCAATTTCCTATTGCAAACTAACATAAAGCCCCGGAATAGAGACTTTTAGTAATTTATTAGGAATTCAATTAGTCGAATTGGAAGGGGTTTTGGGGTTTTGGGGTTTTGGGGTTTTGGGG